AAGAGGGGATATCAAGGAGGTCTCAGGCGAGAGCGCAGCTCCTGACTCAATCATGAGCACGTCCCGAGCGAGAGTGCGATCGTCGTCGTCGTCGTCGTCGTGCTTGTCTTTGTCGTTGTGCTTGTCGTCGTCGTCGTCGTCGTCGTCGTCGTCGGCGGCGTTGTCGTCGTCGTCGACGCCGTCGTCGACGTGCTCGCCATGGTCGCCCCGTGTGCGCGGGGGCCCGCGCCTGCGGCCTTGGCACCCCCCCCCCCCGAGCCGAGCCGAGAGGGGCGGCGCCGGGCGCCCGCCCCCGCGGCCGAGCGACCGCGGCCCCTGGCCGCCGCGCGGGAGCTTTTCTTCTGCGGCCCTCTGCTCGGCCCCGCCCCCCCCCCCCCGCGGCTCCGCGGGCCGCCCCCGGAGGCTCCGCGGGAGGGGCGCATTGGGGCCTCTCCCCTCCTCGGGGAGGGGAGCGCAGGCCGCGGCGGGCCTCGCCTCGGCTCCTCTCCGAGCCGCCGCGGCTCGGTGCGCGTCCGAGGGCGTGCGACTCCGCTTCGCTTTCGGCTTGGGATTCCGATGCGGATGCCGATGTCTCGGCGGAGCCCCACAAGCCTGCCGATTTCAGCCGATTCGGCCCATCCGCGATTCTCGCGGATCCGATCCATTTTGATCGACGGTCCGACTTATCGGTTCGATTCTGGGCTCTCCTGCCATGACAGAAAAATAAAGGGTTCGTTGGGCAAGGTCGACTAGGTCATCCAGCCCGACCCGAGGCCCCACAATCTCGACTTGTGTTGCGCCCCAGCAGCCGTCGACATCACCCTTCTTGAGCCAGATCTTCTCGCCGGTCCCCATTTTCGGGGAACAGGCAATGACAGAAACACAAAGATGGAATTTCTGAGGTCCACGCGGTTTCTCCGATAGGCGCTGGATGTTCCCTGGCGGCGCTTCCCGCGCCGCTCCCCGCGCGCCTCGCGCGCCAGGGAGAGGTCCGGCGCGGATCCACGAAATCTGCGCGGAGATTCGAAAGTTTATGCATCTGACATGTCGTGTTTCCCCATCTTCCGCAGAGAGTTAGGCGGCTCGGGCAGAGTCCAGACGGCGGCAGTTTGTTCGCAGTTTTCGCCTCTGGGGGCCCAGCTTCGGCCCCAGGGCCCCAGGCATTGACTGCGCGGGGGCGAAACACGAGCTGCTCGTGGAAGGCGTCGAGAGCCCGCGCCGCGAGCAGATCGAGCCGCCAGATTGTTCGGCTCCACGTTGTGATCCTGCTTCTCTTCGTTGCTCCCTCGTCTTTCCGAATGATGCCGACTGAGCCTCGTCATCCTCCTCCTCACCCCGCGCGCGTTCCCACGCGCGCGTTCGGGCGGATGGCGAGGATCGAGGATGTGTTGGCTTCTTCCGTGCTTTCTGGGTCTGTTGGAGGCCTCTAGTTGCCACGCCTTGGCTCAGCTCGGCAAGGCTGCTCAGGACTCATCCCAGCACGGGGGGGCAGTTTTGGCGAAAGGAGGCGGAGAAGTCTAGAGTGGTTGGGGAGAAGGGAGGTGCGATGGAGGGAGGCTCATCCTTTCCTCCTCCCTCCTTCGCCTCCTCACTGTGTCTGTATGCGCTCTCTGGTGCGCTTGGAGGCCTGCGGAGGCCCAAAATGGGGCCCAAACAGGGCCCACAGCTTCTAGAGGCATCTAGCCTCCTTCTTCACCTCCCTCGTTTTGTGCATGCGCTATGCTCCATGCGACGCAGAAAGATGATGAGGCAGCTCACGGGCCCCGTGTTACAGGAGTACTCGGCCGACAGCCATTGCAGCGGTCCCCCCCGCTTTGGTCGAAGAACAACACCAACGACGTAAACATGAACTTTCGACGGTCCGCGCGGATTTCTTGGATCCGCGTTGGGGCGCCCAGGCGGCGCTTCCAGCGCCACCCCTGGCGCGCTCCGCGCACCAGGGAGGGGGTTTCTAGCCCAGATCGAAGACATCCGCGGCGACCTCCAAACGTTTATGTTTAGGCCGTTTTTTCTAATCTATTTTTGGGTGTTGTAGCCCGGCTTTGTGCGCAGAGTGGCGCGCCAGCGTGTCAGTTTCATGGAAAGCAACAGCTTCCTCCTCTTCCCTGATCCTCGTCCTCATCGCTCCTCCTCGTCGCATCACCTACATGCGTTATGCACGAGGTGGGCTCGCTATACCTTCACTCGAGCATTGCGTTGATGCGGCGTGGCGCAGCGTATCTACCGCAAGGTGCCCTGGGTCATCCTCGGCGTCTTCGTGGTTCTCGTGCTGGCCACGCCCGCCCAGAGTTGCTTGGCAACGCTGATGGCAAAAGAGTTCCTCCCTCGGGCTCCGCGCCCCCGCTAGGGCGGCGCGCGGCGCCCCAGCTTGGCGTTGCCCTAGACAGGTGCGCTCTGAGTGCTGTCTGTTCGCTTGGGCCTTCTATCTGCTGGTGCTTCGCTGTGCTTCTCTGTGCTGCGCCATGCTTTGGCTGCGCACGAAAGGATTATTTCTGCTGCTGCTGCTGCTGCCCCCATCCCCCCCGGCGGCGGCGGCGGCGAGAGAGGGTGGTGGGTGCCGAACGGCCCGAAGTCCGGGCGCCGGTGCCCAACGGCCCGAAGTCCGGGCGGGAGGAGGAGCAGGAGGAGGAGGAGGAGGAGGAGGAGGAGGAGGAGGAGGAGGCCCCCCACGGCCCGAAGTCCGGGCGCCGGTGCCCCACGGGCTCTCCCCGGGGACGCGGCCGCCCGGCGTGGCCGCGGTGCGGGCGCGGTGCGGGCGGCGGGGCGCTTCTCGGGGCGCGGCGCCTCCCGCGGCGGGGCGCGGCGCGGCGCGGCCTGCAGGGCCACGTTGCGGCGGCATGGCGCCCGCGCGCCGCGCGGGGCGCAATGAATCGTCGACCCCCAAGAAAATATGGGAAACTATGGGAATCGGGGGGGAAGGCAAAAACCCAGAAAATATCGGAAAATATGGGGACTCATTTTATTTGTGTGTATTTATTTGTGTGTCCTTGGGCCCTTTGAAAGTGGGCGAAGCAGAGAAAAGGGATGGTTTAGGCCAACGTTGGCGCGTACGGTGCTCGCGTGAAGTCCGGCGTCGGCGCCGGCGTCTCCGAAGTGGCGTGCCGCGTGGGCGGCGGCCCGCGTGAGCCGCCGCGTGGAGTCGCTGTGCCATCTCGCGTAAGACCCATGTTTTCATCGTCGCTCAAGTGGCCCGGCAGGTTCTGCAAGCACAAGGCCGCTGGCCAGGTCTGGTAGAACGGGGCGGGGCGCCCATGTTAAGCTGTGGCATGTGAGGGCGTGCCAAGGGGGTCTGCTACAATGCCGATGCGCCACCGCCTGCGCCTTCGGTCAAGAAGACCGAGCCCGCAGCTGCCAAGGGCCAGCACCTGTGGGCGATCGAGAAGGCTGCCAAGCCCCAGAAGACTGAGCATGAGAACGATCAACTCAAGCAACAGTTGCAGCAGCCCGAGAAAGGCAGCAGCAAGCGCCCCCCCCCTCGCGTGACGTTGAGGGCGACGCGGCCATGAGCTCGGGTGGGGCTGGCTCTGATGGCCAGCTGCGCCAGAAGATCAAGCCAGCGTACCAACACCTCCAGACGGTCTCGCACGGGCTCATATGGCGTGGCGGTTCGCCGCTGTGGTCTTCACTGTCGGCCACGCTTCGCGCCCATGCGAAGCTCATGGCGTCCAGGCCTCGTGGCGTGCGGATGCAGGGGCTCGCTGCCGGAGCCAAGCAGAGCGTGGCCGGCGTCGTCAAACGTGGGGCTGCGCAGCAGGTCCTGATCGAGCAGACCCAGCTGGTGGAGAAGGCCAAGCTCGACATGGAACAGCAGCTGGCGGCGCAGCTCGGAGTGCCCGTGCGTTTCAATATGCGGGGCTGGCGCCCTTGGCGGCACGCCTGGCGGAGCCGCGCCTGCAGCGCAGGCGGGCAGGCGGCCCCGACTCCTGCCGTTCCCCAGCAGGTCGAGGACGTGGCGGCCGAGCAGCTTAACGAGTTCCTGGTCATCGCTCGGCCCGAGCGTTTTGAGCGGCCTGCTGGTTTCAATATCAGGCGCGAGGCAACCTGGAGGGGCGTGCTTCGGCCGCGGTCCCATCAGCTTGGTTGCGATCTGTCTCGCGGCTCGATGGTGCCCTCGGCTTCCAGTAGTGGCGATGCGACGCCGCCGCGTTTTTAGGCGACGCCCTCGGCTCAAGTGTTCGCTGGCGGTCTGGCCAAGGCTTTCCCCCGACCTCGGCTGGCAGGCGGAGCGGCGGCTGGCGCCCCCGTGTCCCGCCGCTTCCCGAGGGTTCGGCCAGGCGGCTTTTTTGGCAAAGCTGCTGGCCGCTTGCGCTCGCCGGTGGCGGGGCCATCTCCCTCGACCAGCTCCCCCCCATCCACTAAAACACCCCAACCCAACCCGACGGCTTCAGTTTGCCCTCCATTTCCAGTGGGGGCGGGCGGGGGACCATGGAAGAATCACATATGGAGCCCGTGCCCTCCCCCAGCCCGAAATTCAGATCAAAGTCAGGTCTGCGGGTTGGGTTGGGGCGGCTTGGTGGATAGTCAGTTCCCACGCGCGCCCTCCCTGCACGTCGACTCGAAAGTCAGGCGCTAGCGCGCGTCCTCGCGGTCAGTCTGGCGAGTCGGTTCACGACCCAAGGATGTGCTGCTGTGTCTGAGGCACCTTCTGCTCGGCTCCAGGGTGGTGCCGTCGCGGCGAGATGGGGCCCCTTTGGCCAAGTGCTTCTTCGCGTGGCCAATGGTGACAGCGCAGGGCCGCTCGAGTCATCATTGCAGGGGCTGCCTCGAGACTGCCGGGCCGCGGCGGCCATCTGTCGGGGGCCCATCGCCATCGCTACGCCGCCAGAGCCTGCGGAGGTTTCGGTGGTCGCCTGTCCTGGAGTGGCATCTCAGGGAAGAGTGCTCGCAGCTCTTGTCCGCGCCAGTCCTCCTCCGCCGAGTGGTTTGGTGCGACTGCCCATGGCCCCCCAGATCGTTGCCATTCTGCTGCAACTGGCCTCCTACCCAGCGTTGATCGCGCCCCCGGGCTCGACCTGGCGGTCATGGGCGATTGGGGCATGGCGGCGGACGAGCTAGACCCGCGCTGGACTCGCGCGGCCCATTGCGCCATGGCGTTGCCCACTGAACCCACCAGCACGAAGTCCTTGCCCTCCGCGTCGTCGAGTGGGCGGTCTGCGCCCGCGACTTCCCGTCGCAGGTTTCTGGGCCCGTGTTAGCCGAGCCCACGCCGCTCTCTGCCCGTGCTGCAGTGCGCCCGCTGCCGTTTGCCAGTGGCCGCGCGCCGTGGGGGCGGGCGCCCGCGGAGCCGGCCCGCCCGCCCGAGATCTGGCCCGGCTGCCCGGGGCCGCCGGGGCCCCGGGCGCGGCAGCCTAGCCGAGATTGAATCCTGAGCACCGCCGCGAGCCAGGAGTTGCAGCACTGCTGGGCCGCTATTGTCTGGTTGACCCGAAAGGGGGTCCAGCTGAAGGGGGGGGCGCAATAGGTTCGGGGCAATCGTATTGCACATGCATCGCGCCAGAGAATTGTATTGCATTGTATTGCAACTCACGTAGTGCACGCGAGAACCCAGCAATACATTTTCGCCATCTGATTGCACGCCCCAAAGGTATGGCACCCCACAAATCTATTGCACCAAGTCTATTGCACCACCCCCTTGTCGCTGGACCCCCTTTCGGACCAACCCGATATTGGACACCTGCAACCTGCGACGTCGCGGGCGGCGACGGGCGCCGCGGGGGGCGCGCAGGTGCGGCTGCCGCCCAGGGGGTCTCGGTCAAGTGGCAGCCGCTTGGCGCGTGGCTGCGCCCGTCCGATGAACCGCCAGCGCGGACCTCGATCGCCAAGTTGGCTCAGCACCTCCACTGGGCGAGGGCCCAGCTGGCCAAGCGCGCGGGGCTCATGGTTCAGCGCCCTGTCCAGCGGTTGCCTGGCGTGGCCAAGGAAGCGGCGGCGCTCCCACCTCCTGTTTTGCAGACGCGGTCTGCAGGCTCAGCACGTCTGGGAGTTCTAGTGCCAGAGGTGGTGCAGCTCTCCGGCCTGTGACTGTGGACTGGAGCTCCTCGCCCGCCCGAGCTCGACAGAAGATGGTCGGCCTCGTCAGGCGACGCATCGGCGATCAGGCCCCTCGCGACGCTGCTGCGTCTGCTCGTGGGCGCCAGTGGGCGCCCCGCGGAGCCCCGCGGCCCTGCCGCGGCAGCTCGGGGGGGGGCAGCGCCCTCGGCGCCGAAAATCGCAAGGATGTGGCCACCTCGCGGGTCCTGCCAGGCAAGTCGCTGCTGGCCCCTGCTGCGGCAGAGGAGGTGGCACTGCTGGCGCCGACGCGTGGCGTGGCAACGCTACTCCAGATTTCGTAGTAAAAGGGAGGGTGTCTCAACCCTCCCAGACGAGAAGTTTCAGACCCCCCCCGTGGGAGAACCCTCCAAAACATCGTCCCCAGACCCCCCCAGGCCCTCCAAGATAGCCTGGAAGAGACCCCCCCCGAAATGAGACCCCCCTCCCTTTATTACGAAATCGGGAGTACTTGTCCTTTCCGGCGAGCCGCTGCTGACCCCTGCCGCGGCGCCTGGAGGTGGTGTCTCTTGCCCCGGGGCGTCGCAGATCGACCCCTGCCCCTTGGCGGTGAAGGCCGTGGGCGAGTGGGGGAGCTCGCGGTCGGTCCATGGGTCCATGAGGCGCCGCGGGCACAGGCCGCCAGCAGATGCCACCCCCCGCGGGGCGAGGTCCAGCCGCTGGCCGGGCGGTGCCCGGGTCAGGCAGGCGACCTTCGCCTGCGGCGCCAGAGCGGTGGTCGGAGAGTCTACTCCAGATTTCGTAGTAAAAGGGAGGGGGTCTGGACCCTCCAAGACAAGCCATTTCAGACCCCCCCCGTGGGAGAACCCTCCAAAACATCGTCCCCAGACCCCCCCAGGCCCTCCAAGATAGCCTGGAAGAGACCCCCCCCCCGAAATGAGACCCCCCTCCCTTTATTACGAAATCTGGAGTAGGCTGCGTCCTCGACGTCCGTGGAATCTCTTGGATCGTGGGCCCGCGCGCCCTGGCGCTCTTGCTCGCGCGGTGCAGAGCCCTCCGCTCCTGGCCGCCCGAGCGCCTCCTCGGCGCGATGGCGCGCCTGCCCGGCCCAGACGGAGGCGCGCGCCCCGTCGCCCTGGGCTCCGGCCTGGTCAGGGTCTGGGCGAGAACGGGGCGACCGCTGTCCAGGAAGCGGATGATGCCACATCCTCGCGGGACGGTCTTTGGCCTCCGTCGTGGAGCTCCCTCGGTAGACTCGACTCGGCCTTCGGCCACGATAGATCGGCTGGGATCGTCCGTTTCCTTGGATAGGCCAGTATCTCGATCGTCCTGGGCATGCGGGAACCTTTCAACGCCGGCGAGTGCTGTGCTGCTAGATGGGGCGGCGAGCTCCAGCTGTCCAGGCCCCGAGGCGCGCGGGCGGAGCTCGAGCGCAGGTGGCTCGGCCCTCAGCCGACCTGGCGCGGTGCACGAGGGCCGCCGGCGGCGACGTGGATGAGGCTGCCGCCCGTTGGCTGGGGATGCACTCCAGCCCGATCCTGGTCTCGGACGCGGGGGTCCTCGTCGAGCTGCCGCGCGCGCCGCCACAGGGGTGGACGAGCTGGCCCGACAAGAAGCACATGCAGCAATAGCAAGCAGAGGCGTCGATCCACCATTGGGAGCCCGCGCCGCCCCCGCAGAGCCCCCCCCTCCTCCTCCTCCTCCTCCTCCTCCTCCTCCTCCTCCTCCTCCTCCTCCTCCTCCTCCTCCTCCTCCTCCCTCCTCCTCCTCCTGGCGCGGCCGCGGGCCCCTGCTTCGCGGGCCTCGGGCGGGCCGCGAACATCCCAGAGCTCAGCTGCCCTGAGACGCCCGCTTCTCGGAGCGCGAACCACCTCCCCCGCCTTTCGCCTCCAGGCAAAACCCAGTCATGCCACGCGCCTCCTCGTCGAGCGCCCCGACCAGTGCAGGCCGTAGTTTGGCATCGCTCGGCACCTCTCGGGAGCGAGGGTGGTCAAAAGCGAGGTGGGTTTGTCTTCCCCCTCGTTTCGAGGCGCAGCGCGCACCGCGTTCACGACGTCCACTGCTCACGCGCTGCACGCTGTGGCTCGGCACGCGTGGGCCCACAAGTTTTGGCGAGCGCATCGCGCCGGACCTGCGTGCTCAGTCTACGTGTTGGGCTCCGCCTCAGTGCGCCACGTGTTTCAGGAGGGAAAGAAACACACAGACACAATTGATCGTCGATCCCTAAGAAAATATGGGAAAATTTGGGAATTGGGCGGGAAGACAAAAGCTACAAACTCTATAGGAAAATATGGGGAATCATTTGATTTGTGTGTATGTATTGGTGTGTCTCAGGGCCCCTTCGGTGTTGCGTGTTGCGTATCGTTACCAGTTTGCAACGTATCCCGATCCAACTGTCTGACATCGCCTCATCTCGGTGCCGATGTCAAGGTTTTCCGCAGTTTCCGAGGGCGCATCCCCACGACTGCCATCGCCTCTCGGCCTGCCAATCTTAGGGGTGGGGATCCGTTCGAGGCTGGTTCTATCGGTGCAGCTAAGCCCAGGAGGGTGCTCATGGAGGCCTCCTGGAGGGCCACGAAGTGAGGCGACAACGTCCAGAGACCTTGATCCTTGACCCTCCTCGATGCTCCTCCTCCCATATAGTTACCCCTCCTCGAGCCCCGATCCTTACAGTACTGCTAGGTCTCCCTCGATCTTCGCCTCCTCGGCCCCCGAGCCTCGAAGCTCTCCGACGTCCCCTCGAGCCGGTGGCCCAATCCTCCTCCACCCTCGAGGTCTACAACCGATCCTCTTTCGATGCTCCTCGAGCCCGGGCCCCTCTCGGCGTCACCCGAGCCGGTGCCGCGTCCCTGTCGCCCGCCCCCCCCCCGCTCACAGGGGGGCGTGGCTGCGGGCGAGGGGGCGCGGGCAGGACCATGGACTCCAGCCAGCTGCCCAGCGGCGCGGGCTCCAGCGTCGTAGTGAAGCGCACCTTCATCGAGGCGCGGGGTCTGGTTCGGGCGGAGGAGGGGGGTGGGGGAGCGGGGAGGAACAGGGCGGGGTGAGGGGGACGGAGGGAGGATGGAGGAGAGATGAGGGGCGAGGGATGGGGGAGGAAGAGGAGCGGGATCCGAGATGAGGCGGACGAGGCAGAATGAGGAGCAGGAGTAGGAGGGGAGGGAGGATGAAGGATGAGGATGAGGATGGGGAGGCGCAGGCGGAGTTGGATGATGGATGAGGAGGACGATGGGGAGAGCACAACAAGCTTACGGGACGAGGGGGAGGTGGATCTGGGGGATTGAATGGGAGGAGTAATGAACCGCACAGATCGCGTGTGTGGTGCGAGCTGCCATTTAGATGGGATGTCCTCTAAATTCAGGCAGGTGTTGCACAATTTTGCAACCCATGGCCATCCACCAGGAGGTTCTTGGAGGCACCGAATGCCCAACCCGAACTCAGAAACAAATCCTGATCTTAAGATGTTTCAACTTGTTTTAGCCTTGACAAACAGAAAGAAAATCGAGTACCAAACGGTATCGAAACTGGAGGATATTCAGGTGTCTGGCCTTGGGAGGCGATACTCGTTCTACACTTCGCCAGCGTGTCAGGCAGCCACTGTTTCGATTATTTTCTGGGTGTTCGGAACCATTTCTGGAATGCGGTCCCTAAGTACCATGGGAACAACGTGCGTACCAACGAGAGCTACGTGGTGCGAGTGGAGGAGGTGACAACTGTGCGATGCAAGCTGTGAAGTGCAAGCCATGTCGTGTAAGCCAGGTGGTGTGACCTTTAGGCAAAAGCGATGGGTGTAAGCTGGGCAGTGTGCTGTAGGTCATGTGGTGCAGGCTATGTTGTGTAAGCTGTGCCGTGTCATATCAGACCACGGAGCGACCACGAGGAGCTCACGAGGTGCCCACGAGGTGCCCACGAGGTGGCACCGGCGGCAGCGCGGCGCAGCCTCGGCGCACCCCCCGAGCGACCCGGGCGGCGCCCGCGGGGCGGCCACGAGGCGGCCCCATGACGCAACCACAGCACACCGCCCAGACGCGGGGCGCCCATGGAACGCCCGCGAGGCGGCTTCGGTGCGGCACCGCGGCGCAGCCTCGTGGTGCCCACCTGGCGCACAGGGTGCCCACGAGGCGAGGCGGCACGGGCGGCGCAGCCTCGGCATGCGCCAAGAGCGCGGGGCGCCCACAAGGCGCCCGCGAGGCCGCAGGGACCACAGCGTGGCGTGGGTCCAGTATAGCACCCGCTTACGTTACCGAAGATACGAAGGACGCCTGCATGCAAGCACTGCTTGGGGAAGAAGGAGCACGGAGGAGGAGGAGGAAGAGGAGAAGGAGCCAAGTGCGCCGAGTAGAGCTAGACCGCGGTCCTCGCCCACCCCCGCCCTCCCTCCCAGATCATCTGGCTGGACTAGTTGATTCTTAGATCAGAACGCGTCCCCACCCAGCGACTGGAAGGTGCTCGCGCGCGGTGCCGCTGCCGACGATGTGGCGAGGGCAAACGAAATACAGACGCGGGCCGCGCACGGGCAGGAGAACCGACCTGCACAGAGGCGGCGGCGCGGCGCCGCGGCGGGAGAACCGAACCCCTTGGCCCATCCGCTCGGGCAGCCAAGCTTCCGATCAGCCGCGCCGAGACAGCGCCGCCACTCTCGCGCACAAGCTGCGCGGCGCTCGGGGGGGGGGGGCGCAGGTTGTCGCCCGCTCTCTGGCGCGGGCTGTCGCTGCCGCTCTTGTATGCGATTCGGCGAACGAAGCAGGACAGCCGCGGCCAAGCAGGATCTACCCCGCTGAGCGAGTTCGGCAAGAGTCGCCCGCTGCGCCCGCTCGCGCGCGGCGACCCGCCCTGAGCGATCTGGTGCGTTCAGAACATTCGGCGGTGGGCGAGGAGGGGAAGGGAGAAGGAGAAGGCCTTCCCAGAAGGTTGCGGAGCTTCTCGGAAGCCCTCGCGCCTCCTGAGAGGTCTCCTGTGTCTTCGGGGAAGGCTCGTCAACCTTCTCCAAAGGCCGGGGGACTTCTTCAGGCTCGCCGCCAGAACATGTGCCGTGCCTGGCCGGGAACGGCATTTTCGTCCGCTCGCGCGTGACCTGATGCGAAAAGATGCGAGCGAAAGATGCGCGCCGCGCCTCAGAGGGAGATCGACTCTCAAGTGAAATCAGCGCGACGCCCAGGCGAGAGCGCGATTTCTTTTACCTTGCGGGATGAATGCCCAGTCCAATTACCCCCTCGCCCTTCGCAACATCGACGCCCAAACGTCCATGGCGAAAGGAGAGACGTCGTCCTTGTGTTGTCTGCGGAAGGGTCGGACAAGACGGGGAAGTGGAGGGGAAGGCTAAAACCCAGAACCTATGCAAAATATGGGGAATCCTGGGATCCGCTCTGAGAGTCGACGGCGCGAATGAATTCAGAAATCGTGAGAATTCACCTCTGGAGCCCTGGACCCCATCGTTCTGCGTCAGTTTTCGAGCGGGATCGACATGTGAGGGTCCCGGGACCCGAAACCCGACGAAGACGCCCAGCTCGAACACAAATGAGACGCCAGAATCCCAGGGTGTGTCTATTGTTTTGTTTGTCCCTGGGCCCCTTGACTCTTGGGTTTTCGCTGCAGACTTGTTGGATGTCTGACTCCCGGCCTCCAGTCAGCCAACCGCGCCCGCAGGACATTTGGCCGGCCTTCAGCGCAGCGCCGGCAGGGCTGGCTCGGGGCCCCCCCACGGCGTGGTGACCACACTCGGCGGCGATGGGGGGAAGTGAGAAGGAGAAGGCCCTCCCAGAAGTCGGCGGGACTTCTCAGAAACTCTCGCGCCTTCTGAGAGTTTTTTTTTGTGACTTCGGGAAAGTCTTCGAAATCTTCTCAGAAGGTTGGGGGACTTGCGAACCTTCTGAGAAGGCCAACTCCTTGTCACTTCCGCTCCTGGCTCGCCGCCGGCACACCGTGTGGTTCTAGGCCAGGCCTCCCAGATGGGGTCGGAGTAGATGGGGTTGAAGGATCGAGCCGCATCGCCGATGCATCGGCGATGCGGCTCGATGTGGAGCCCGATGTTCTCGACTCCGACGTCGCCGATGCGGCGCGATCCCCCGACCACGTCTACTCGGACCCTTGCTAGGAGGCCTCTGTTCTGCGAGCCGCGCCTGGCTTAGGGGGCTCCCTCGCGGCGTGGTGACCACACCAGGGGTGGACCTAAACGGTGTTTTGGCGATTTCGTGGGCCGTTTTCGTTTTGATTTCGTTTTGCGTTAAAGGTGGATTGAAGACAAAACGCGAGAAAACGAAAACAAAACGAAAACGACAAACACCGTTTAGGTTCAGCCCCGGACCACTCCGTGTGGTTCGCCATGTGGGGAGCGGGTCTTGACGGAAACGGGTCTTGAGCTTTTTGTCCCCCGTTGCCAGGCTCCCGGGGCCCTCCACGGGCCCCGGGACCGTCAGAGAACGACTCAGGAGGAAGATCTCGTCCTGGGGGAAGGCCCCGGGGTCCATGACCTGTTTCCCTCCAGACCCGTTTCCCCCATGCCCGAAGTGTTGGGGACGTGGGAATTCGGGGTGGTTTGGCGGTTTGGTGACTCGGGCCTCCACAGTGTAACGGGCCGTGCGGTGACGGACCATGACCGTGCGGCGACGAACCGTGTGGTGAGGTAATTATTTGGGGATTCCAGGTCGCCGCGCTGCCGTCACCGCGCCGTGTTGGGACCCCCAGCTGGCAGCGTCGGTGAGGAGTCCTGGGAACACCGAGAAGCTTTGTGACGACGACGACGACGACGACGACGACGACGACGACGACGACGACGACGACGACGACGACCCTCGATCCCCTCCCCACCTCAGGTCCAGCCGCTCCCCTGCCACCGCCGAGGCCGGGATGTATCAGCATATGTCCACCTACCTGGGAACCGATGTGCCTGGACCCAGGAGGTGGTGGATGTGAATATCGGATATGTTCGGAGCCCCGAGGGCCCAAATGCATCCACACATCCGCCGCCCTCCTGAGGAGGTCGGCTCCACAGTCGCTGGGTACGTATACGATCAGAAGCACTTGCTTAGCGTGTCGCGCCGCCGGTTCTGGCCCATTGCGCTTCGGCGCGACACGCTAACCACTTGCCAATTTGCAGGCGTCAGCGTCTCGAGGTCTCCTCGGCCTCCAGTCCACCGGTGACACGCTACCCCAGACGTGAAACGTCTTGATTCAGGAGGGAAAGAAACACACAGACACAATTAATCGTCGATCCCCCGGAAAATATGGGAAGTGGGGGGTGAGACAGAAAGCCAGGAAATATTTGAAAATATGGGGGATATCTTCATTTGTGTGTTTTTATTTGTGTGTCCAGGGGCCCCTTCATTGATCTCTGCAGCACGCGGTTCCCGGAAGTCCTGACACTTTCCCAGTGGCCGATTCTGCATCGCGGATCGTTTTCCGACGATGCCGGGGCCGGGCGAGGGCCTTGGAGGGCGACAACAGCCCACCCACCCCCCCGTCATGGTTTCTTCACGGCGCGAGCATGTCTGGGCTCAGCTCGCAGGGAATAGCGTGCCGCCGTCGTCGCCGCTGACACGCTGAGCAGAGGCTGTACATCGCGGCCTGGCGCCGCCGCGCGACCGCCCCCGCGCGGCGCCCGGGGCCAGCGTGGCCGCGAGGTGAACTGCCCCAGTGCGGTGGGCAGTCTCCGCTCGCGCGCGTGCTCCGACTCGGCGCTGTTCGAGCTGGGCGAGGAGGCCGCGCCCAGGGGGGGTGTCGATGGCAATTCGTGGGAGCCTTGCATGTCTTCGCAATTCCATCTCTGGGGTGCGCTGGCGTGCGCTGCGCCCGGTAATCCATGAGAACGCGCCGATCGAGCGTCGACTCGCGTCGATTCGGCGTCGACCCGGCGTCGGCTCGCAAGAGCCAGCAAGACGTCGAGGGAGGCCCGCGCGAGGTTGCCGCAGAAGGGGGGGGGGACAGCCAGAGGGCGGGCGTCGGGCCTCGAGCTCGCGAGCGCCCCCGCAGCACCTCGGCAGGAGCGCGCAGCGCGGCTCCCCGAGACACGCCACTTATAGCACGGGTCCTGCCCAGAGTTTTGGGGGGGCGCTGCACCTGCGTGAAGGACTGAGCTCTCGGAGTGCCTCGCCTGGGGAGGTTGAGAGGCGCGGGAGAGGTCTCGGGCCCGTCGCGTCTTCGAGCAGTGTGTTCAGGTGTGTGTGTGTGTGTGTGTTGGTGTCCATGATGGTGTCAGTTCTGGCCGGGGGGCAGATGCCGATACCCCCAGGTCTCCGACCGCATGGGTTTCTCGATCCGTTGTTTGTTGTGGTTTCGTTGTTCCCCACATCCTGAGATGGGGTTCTCGTTATTTCTTGGACGGCGCCGACTCCAACCATAACCGGAACTCCTCCTCTCCTCCCTCCTCCTCTTTCTTCTCTTTCTCTTCAAACTTGCTCATGCACAGACTTACTCTTAATCAGACTCATTTATACTCAGACCTAGTCATACTCAGACTTACTCATACTCAGACTTTCTCATGATCAGATTCAGTTATACTCAGACCAAATCATACTCAGACTTACTCATACTCAGTCTCGCTCTCCTAAGATGGGGTTATTGTTATTACTTGGACGCCTCCTACTCCTCCTCCTCCTCCTCCTTCCTCTTCTCGTCCCCTCCTCTTCTCTTCTCCTCCTACTCGGACTCACTCATACTCAGACCTACTCATACCCAGACGTACTCATACACAGACTTTCTCATACGCAGACTTACTCATACTCAGATTTACTCATACCCAGACGTACTCATACACACACTTACTCATACTCATACCTACGCATACTCAGACCGTCTCTTAGTTTGACTTACTCAACACACATCAGATTTGGATAATGTCTCAGGCGGGGCGCTGGTTTCAGCACCCCTAATTAAGGGGAGCCGCCAGGGGTGTTTGCACGGGTCCGTTCGCGGCCATGTTGTGGGGATGTCTCAAGCGGTTTGCCTGTTTTCATGCTCAACATCCTTCGCTTGGAGAGCAGATTGTGAGGATGTCTCAGGCGGGGCGCTGGTTTCACAACCCTTAAGAAGAGCCGCCAGGGGTGTTTGCACGGGTCCGTTCGCTGCCATGTTGTGGGGATGTCTCAGGCGGTTTGCTGGTTTTCATGCTCAACATCTTCTGCTTCAGAGCAGATCGTGAGGATGTCTCAGGCGGGGCGCTGGTTTCAGCTCCCCTAAAGGGGAGCCGCCAGGTGTGTTTTCACGGGCCCAGGCGGTTTGCCCGTTGTCATGCTCAGCATCCTTGGCTTTCAGAGCAGATTGTGAGGATGTCTCAGGCGGGACGCTGGTTTCAGCACCCCTAAGGGGAGCCGCCAGGGGTGTTTTCACGGGCCCGTTCGCGGCCAGTTTGTGGGGATGTCTCAGGCAGTTTGCTGGTTTTCATGCCCAACATCCTTGGCTTTCAGAGCAGATTGTGAGGATTTCTCAGGCGGTGCGCTGGTTTCAGCACCCCTAAGGGGAGCCGCCGGGGGTGTTTTCACGGGCCCGTTCGCGGCCAGTTTATGGGGTTGTCTCAGGTGGTTGGCTTGTTTTTATGTCCAGCATCTTTGGGTTTCAGACCAGATTTCGAGGATGTCTCAGGCGGGGCGCTGGTTTCAGCAGCCCTGAGGGGAGCCGCCAGGGGTGTTTTCACTGGCCTTTTCGCGGCCATTTTTTGGGGATGTCTCCAGCGGTTTGTCTGTTGGCATGCCCAACATCGTTGGCTTTCAGAGCAGAGTTTGAGGATGTCTCAGGCGGGGCGCTGGTTTCAGCACCCCTAAAAGGAGCCGCCAGGGGGTAGGACGCGGGTCCGTTCGCGGCCAGTTTGTGGGGATGTCTCGGGCGGTTTTCTCGTTTTCGTGCCCAACATCCTGTCGCCCATTTGGACGCGCTATTATCGTCAAACGCTCATGAACAGACGCTCACTATGGCATGACATAAAACATGAGATGCACATATGGGGAGCCCCACGCAGTGAGTAATTTTTGTTTTTGTTTCCAATTTCGGTGTTGAAGTTCTGCTTTCGGGCCCCAGGACCATCAGAAACGCTTCCAGGCCTCATACTTACCCATGGGAAACCGATCTGCCCCCGGGAAAACGATCGAACCTGCTGGGGCCGCGAAGTGCAACAATCACATCGGCTGATGACAGTGTGTTTTACCGCTCGTATACGGCACACCTTGATTTCGAGCGGGAACCCCGCTGTGTTTCGGGGGCCCTCGTCTGCCTCTTGGGTCTCCCCTTCTTTTCGTTATGTCTTCCCCTCCCGTCCTCTTGAGGATGGAAGTTGAGGATTCGTTTTCAAGTTTTGCGGCCGCCGCAGCATCTCTCGCTGTCGAGCGGCAGAGACAAAAAAGGCGCGCGCGGCTGCGTGCGCCCTTTTCGTCGTCGCCGTTGAACGGTATGTGCGTTTCTGTGCGTGCCGTTTCGTGTTCTGTGCGTGCCTCAGTCTATTGCAACGGTTGAACTACAGTTACTTGTGAAAAATGGACTCGACCGCCCATGCCTTCATAGGCGAGCCGACGCCTACTGCACTGAGGGGTTGTTCGGCTCTGCGGCCACGTCATCCCCAGATCCAGTTAGTGCCCATGCCGCTGCCCGTCCTTCGCCGCCACGGCTGGATTGCGCGGGTCGATTAAGCGCCGATGTGGGTTGGGTCGCGTGGATTTGTGACGGATCCCGCTTCCATGCAGAATCGGTGCGTTCCGTCGCCAAGTCATGCGGCATTGGTTTCGGACGATTTTTCTGACCCGTGGATCTGGCGCTTACGCGCCAGATCCATTGATCCGTAATCCATTTCAGCGTACGCTCGCGATTCGCTTCGGAATCCTCGTTGGAACGCGTCTGGGAACAGGTCCGTTAGGGTTTGCGTGTCTGGTTCAGTCCCAGTAGACCGATGCTTTGGGCAAGATGAGGATACTGCCAGCTGGCTTCGGGGTTTCCTGCTCTCGACGTTGCGACTTCTCTGGGGAGGATTTGTGCGCACCGTACCGCGCTGGTCTCCCCCGTGCCGTCGTCGATCGGAAGAGCGCCTAGAGTTTCACGGGACTCCTTACTTACGCCCGGAGAACGAGCCCTTTTCCCAGAGAGCAAGCCCTTCGCCCCCCCACCCCACCCCCATAAAAAAGGAGTGCCGACCCGGGGAAAGGCGAAGGGGGAAAGCCAAATGCCGCACACACCTCTTCACCCTCAGAAATCGCGGGTCGGCGGATTTACAGCAGGTCCGTCGCCCGAGTCGCTTTGCGTGTGAGTGCACGTAGTGTTTGTAGCCGCAGTAGAGTAGTAGAGTTTAGTATTTAGTCGGGCCTGTCCCTCCTACAGGAGGAATATTCAAACATAGTTTTAACAAAAACAGTCTGGGGACGATGTGTTGACAATGTTTTGGCCATGCTGGGGTATTTAACTATTTTTATGTTTTCGTCACAAATCCCCCTGTAGGGGGACACGCCCGACCTAAGTATAGTAGTTTCAGGTTTAGTCGTATTGGTGATGCTCGGTTGTGCAGCAATTGCGAGGGCTGGTGGTGTTAGTGGCAAGTGGTGTTCGCGGTCTTCGTTGTCGCTTCCATAATTGCCGCATGCAGGCTTCATGGCCGTAGTCTTGGATTGGGTTGACATTATTGACATTGCAGCTGCACTTGTGGCCGTAAAGCGTTCACTAACCATTCGTAGTAGTGGCAGTTTCCGTGATCATACCCACACGTGTCGTAGGAGCAGTAGCAGGAGTATAATCGTTCGCCCCGTTGCTGAAACAGGTAGAAGTTCCTGCTTCAGTAGCGTCAGCAGTAACAGTCGCAGCATCACCAGGATCACTTGGCAGTTGCAGGCAGCATCCGGAGATGCAGACACAGCAACCGTGGCTGCAGTCGCATGAGCGGAGGCCCATTGGATGCGTATGTGTGGCCCTTGTTGTCCCCGCGCATTGATATTATCTTCATACTCATGTTTCTTCTCCCGCTCGGCGCTATTGTTCTTTATACCATGTCTCTTCGTCCTTGGCGTTTCGCGTGCACCACCGATGCCTCAGGCAGTGCGCCGGCATGCCCAGCACCGTCAAGGGAGAGCTGCTGCCATGGCGGGTCAGGCGCCTGCGGTGACAAGATCCGAAGGGAAGGCAATTCTCATTGACATTTGCATCCCTTTTCGTATTTGTTTTTTTCGAGGGATCGAGCACCCTCGAGAGCAATGCAAGCGTTGCGCTCGAATCGCACATGTTCCATTTTCAGGTTGCAACAGCGCGTGATTGGCGGGACTTCTGTGCAAGAAAGGCGCATGTCGTTATTTTACCACTCGGTCAGCGCAGGCGGGATCGATTTCGACGGCTTCAATTCCGTGACGTTTGTACGTGTTGTTTTCCTATGTTTGACCAGTCTTCCCATGTCCATGACAAGTCGGCATCTACCTATGGCAATGCGTGCATGTAAATCTTTTCTGAGAGTGCCTTGAGGACAGGGGGCCGCGCGTCACAGCACGCCCGCTACCGATTGTGCTCAAGCTGACACCGGCGCGGCCGCGCCGGGAGACGCATCCCCCGCTTCCCATGGCCTGGCTGTTTGGCCAGCGGTACCTGGACTGGCTCGTCGGCACCGTCTCGCAGACGGTCGTGAGCTGGTCGGCCCGCTGCCCGGCGTGCCCCGCCTGCCCGCAGCCGCCGGCGTGCCCAGCCTGCCCAGCGGCGGCGCCGATCCACTTCCACCCGCCGGCCGCCTGTCCGGCGGCTCCAGAGGCGCCGGCACCCGCGCCCGCGCCCCAGCCGGTCGCCCAGGAGCCTGAGGGCCTCTCCTGGACGGGCGGGTGGCTGACCTGCTTCCTGGTCGCCGTCAACCTGTTGGTCTTCAGCTTCCACGTGGTGAGGCAGGTCGGCTCGGCCGTGGTGAGGCTGCGGCCGGCTCCGACGCCCGCCGCCCTGAAGGATGGCGCAGGAGCAGGCGCCGCCGGGGGTGCGCCGGTGGGCGTGGGCACAGTACGCCGGCGCGCCGCTGTGGCATCAGCGGCGCGTGTGGGGCCGGGTGATTCAGGATCCGACTGATGCCCGCTGGTCCTCCCTGCGGGTGCTGATCTCGACGCCGGATGGCGACGTATACGAAGAGCTGTACGACATGTCAGATGGGACTTTGGCTGCGGTTCGCTTCCAGGACGACCGGCGCACCCGCCCAGCTGGCCTGGAGGTTGGGAACCTCTACCGCTTCCGGCGCGCGCTGACGGCGGCCGAGGAGGTGGCCATCAGGAACGAGGTGGACGCCTACGCCCGCGACGTGTTCCTCGACGCGGAGCGAGCGGCCGGGCGGCCCGGGGTGGTGCCTCCGGCGGGCGCTGCTGTCTACTTCACGTTCGCGGCCGCGGCTGGTGGCGCGGTCGCGCCTGGGCCCGCCCCCGCCGCCCCTGCCGCCGGGGGAGGGGCGGCTGTGGCCGCCGCGCTGGCTGTGGTGCCGGCTGGTCCCGCCGCGCCCGCGGCTGGGCTGCCTGCTGGTGCCGCCCCAGTTGCGGCAGCAGCCGCACCGCTCGCCGCTGCAGGAGCTCCCGCAGGCCCCTTGGGGCCGAATGCCGTGCCTGGGGCTGACGGACAGTGGGTCTACGTCGAGACCACGACGACGGCCCGGCGTGGGGACCCTGTCACGATGGACGGGACGGAGCTCGTCCGGGGGGCTATCGGCCTGAAGCAGGACGCTGGCGGGAGCTGGTCGGCCATCCGGCTGATCACGACCTCGCAGGCCGCCTACCGAGGCGCCGAGGCCCTCGCTGACGCCCGCCTCCAGCCTGTGGCCTTGCTTAGTGACGGCTCGCGGCAGCGCGTGCAGTTCCACGAGAGTGTCGACAGGCTCCGCGAGGAGCCCTTCCCCGACTGGCCGCTGGACGGCCCAAGGACCACGCTATGGTGCCTCCGCTTCTTGGACAGGAAGCGCGGAGGGGCCATCGAGCACTTCCACCAGTTCGTGTCCTACTACCGGCTGTCCCGCGATGACTTCGGGGTGACGCACTACGAGTCCATCATGCGGATGGTCGACTACCTGATGACGTGGGACCTCCTCGACTTGCCCAATGTGGTGGGCGTCGAGGTCATGCTGCGGCAGGCGCAGCTGTACGAGTACATGTACGCCATGGAGTACGAGGCGCGCGACTCGGGCGTCTCCACTGCTGTTTCGGCCGAGGGCGAGCCCAAGGCGAAGGCGAAGGGCAAACCCAAGAGCCGGAGCGGCGGTGGCTTCTTGAAGTTCGGTTTCGTGGATGAGGTGGGGGTCTTCACGGGCACGGCCCGCGAGGACGGCCGCATGATGGTGGCTCCGGCATTACTGGAGCACGTGGCCAAACAAGTGGAGCGCGACGCTGGAATCCTTAAGCAGATCAGGAAGGCTAAGGAAGAGCGCCGCGCTCTGGCTCCATGATGGAGCGGGGCCTGGAGGCGGACTCCCCGACCGCCTTCAGCGACTCTCGAGGGGGCTTCGCGGATATGGCCTCCCGCGCTGCAGATGTACATGAGGCCCAGCCAGCTCGTCAGCGACGGCATCGGGATCTCTTTCCGCTCCCTGTGCCCGCCGGTGGTGAGCGTAGTTTTGTGGCTACAGACCTATCTCGCACAACTAAGAGGCGACTCCACAGGACCAGTCACCGCCGCGAGATGGTCGTCGACGCCATCCGCGCCATGAATGAGATGTACACTGGTTCGAGCTGTCCGCGGCCTACCGGCCTCACTGGCCCTACGACCGCCCAGCAGGAGGCTCTGGCGGTGATCCAGGAGGCCGTCGACGCCTTCGGAGTGCCCCCGCCCGACCTCACTCCCGCAGGAGCCCTCGAGGAGCTCCGCGTCGCGCAGTCATACGACCAGGAGTCTGCCGTGATTGCGCCGGTGACCTTCGACCGCGTCGATCTGATCTCCCTGCCGAGCGTGCTCTCCGAACCGAAGTCCTTGTCTGCGCTCATCGGGGATGACAGCATGAGTATTGGTCACCGCCTTCAAGAACTACTTTTGCCCCGTGAGCGGGGGCTTGCCCGGGTCGCGGAGCACGCTCCGAAGAGGGCGTATTCGGATCCCAACTTGAGGAACCCTCGTTTATATAAGAAAGTATTGCACCGTCTTGTGTCATCGCACCTCGTTGAGTTTCATACCGATGCGTTGAGCTCAGTGGGAATGTTCTTCGTCTATAAGAAATCAGGGGCCCTGAGGCTCATACTGGATGGCCGGATCCCGTCCCAGTTGTTCGACGAGCCCCCCAAAGTGAAGCTGGCAACTGGGGCCGCGTTCTCTCAGCTCCGGGTTGACAGTCGGGAGCCTGTGTGTGTCGCTGGTGTGGACATCGCGGATGCCTTTTATACCATGTTGCTCCCACCTTGGCTTCGTCGGTACTTCGGACTCCCTAAGATCAGGGCTGGTGAACTGGGGATCTCGGTCGATGCGAGTGGAAGGCCCGTGGCGCCTACGCAGTGGGTCTATCCGTGCTTCAGGTGTCCTCCGATGGGATTCAGTCTCAGTCTTTGGTTGTGCCAGTCAGTGAATGAGATTGTCTCGCGGCGTGCTGGCCTCGTCAGGCCGGAGCGTGTCCTGGTGGATCGCCTGCCTGCCCCTGTCGTCGACTCGGGCGTTGTTCATACCGAATACGTCGACAACTTCGTTGCGCTGTCGTTATCGGAGGCCTCTGCTATTGCTGCTGCCCGTCAGGTCGATCACCATATGCGTGCTGTGGGACTGCCTACTCACGGGGTGGAGAGCGGAGTGGGCGGGGAGACTCTTGGCTGGCCCTTCGACTCGAACTCGCCCGTGATCTCGCTCAACCCCAGGCTTAGGTGGAAGCTGTACCTTGGGATTCAGGAGGTCCTCCGACGTGGGTTCTGTTCTGGAAAGGAGATGGTGAGGATCGTCTCGCACATCACGTCCAGGGTGCTCATTAGGAGGGAGCTCCTCTCGTGCCTGGGGGCCGTCTACAAGTTTGGGGAGGTATACCACAATCGCGCCGCTAAGCTCTGGCCCGTCGTCCGTCGTGAACTACGCTGGGCTCGGGCTCTCCTCATCTTCTGCAGCAGGGACCTCGGGTTGCCCTTCGACACCACCCTCACGTGCCTGGATGCGTCGTCTTGGGGATTTGGAGTTACCCAGCGGGAGGTCTCTGAGGACTCGGTCAAGCGTCTGGCCCGGTACAACGAGCGTTGGAGGTTCTCTCGGGAAGCTGAGCGCCAACGTCTTGGGCCCCGAGCCGCTGCTGTCCCTGGTCAAGGCTCCTCAGGAACCGTCCCGGACGGGCCCGAAGTCTCCGACGTGGACCCTAGCTTCGAGGAGGTCCCGCCCGACATCTGGAGGGACCACTGGCACCCGGTCCTCTCGGTGCCCTGGCGGCGCTCAGCCCCTCAGGTCATCCTGGAGGCCAGGTCCGGCGTGATGGCGCTTAAGCACAAGCTTCGCTCCAAGAGGTCCTTTCGGAAGGCCCATGTAATGCTGAATGATGCCATGGCTCCCATCTTGGCTCTGGCAAAGGGGCGGTCTTCGGCGCCCGCCCTCCTCGCCGTCTGCCGGCAGGTGGCATGTCTGCTGCTGGCCTCAGGCTCGGCGGCGTACTGGAGGTGGCTGCCGTCCGAGTTCAACTCTGCCGACCCAGCATCACGGAACCGGCCTGGTGCTAGGCCCGAGGCGTGGTATGCTCCAGCGGTCGTCGCCCCAGGGAGCGTCTGCTGCCAGCCCGTCGGGCGTCCTTCGCAGGCGGCCCGCGGCGGCTCCAGCAGCCCCAGCGCCCACCCACCTTGGGCGCGGGAGCCGCTCCCAGAGCGCAGCTGCGCTGTCCTGGGGGGATCAGGCGGACCGCCGAGTTGCCAGGAGGCGCGCCTTCCCCGCCGCCAACACGGCGGCGACCTCGGGCTCGCTGACCTTCCTGGAGACGCAGGCCGTGGGGGAGGCGACCCGCCGGGACTATGCCGACAGGGTCTCGAAGTTCACGGGGTGGGCGACCTCGGTCCGGCTGCCGATCGGGGAGGTGCCCGAGCTGGACGTCGCACTGGTGACCTTCTTCAACCAGCTGTTCTTCGACGGCTACCCGAGCGAGGAGGCGACGAAGTACATGGCGGCACTGGCTCATTGCCGCGCGGCGCCCGGCCGGCTGCAGGTGGCCTTCCCGAGGGCCGCTCGTGCTGCGAAGGGCTGGGCCCGGCTGGTACCGCCACGCTCCCGGCTGCCGCTGCCCTGGCCGATTGCCTGCCTGATGATCGACTGGATGCTGGATGCAGGCGAGACGACAGCGGCGGCGGCGACGGCGGTCTGCTTCGCGCTGTACCTTCGGCCGGCAGAGCTGCTCAGCCTGACGCGCGAGCAGGTGATCCCGCCTGCCGAGGGCGCCCCTCCGGGGCGAACCTTCCTGAACTTCTGGTCGGTGGTCCTGCATCCGATGGAGTGCGCTCAGCCTTCGAAGACGGGAGTCTACGACGAGGGCCTCCTTCTGGACAGCCCGGAGTTCACCTGGCTGCCACCGCTGCTGCAGGCGCTGCGGGCCCGAGCCGCGCCAGGCGGCCGCGTCTTCGACATGAGCTACAACCAGTGGGCCCTGGTCTTCAGGCGTGCTGCGACAGCGCTGCACCTCGACGTCCTGGGGCCGCCGACGCTCTACACCCTCCGACACGGGGGGGCCTCCCACGAATACCTCGCAAAGTTCAGAAGCCTCGACGAGATCAAAAAGAGGGGGAGGTGGGTGTCGGACTCGTCCCTACGGCGCTACACCAAAGGGGGCCGCGTGGCAGAGCAGATGCGACGGCTTCCGATCTCCGAGCAGCGCCGCGCCACGCGCCTGGTCGACACCATTGGCGGGCGCCTCTCCAAAATCTGGCTCGGTCTGTAGAGGACGCCGGTCAACCCGTGTTCCTAGAAGTGTTCAGCGGGTCAGGGCGCCTCTCTCTGGCGTGGCGAGTCTCCCGCGGCCGCCTGGCCGCCTTTGAGCTGGACCTCAAGCATGACCCGGCTTCAGACCTTCTGCAACGCCGAGTTCAGCAGCTTGTTCGCGGATGGCTTCGGTCAGGCCTTGTGGCAGCTGTGTGGTTGGGCACGCCTTGTCAGTCGATGTCGCTCGCGCGCAACCGACCAAATGGCCCCCCTCCGCTCAGAAGCAGCTCGCACCCTCAGGGCCTCCCTGGATTGTCGCCTGGTGATGCTCTGAAAGTTTTGCAAGGCAATAGGCTCTGTGCGTTCAGTTTTAGTCTTTTTGAGTTAGCGCTGTCCCTTGGGATCCCTGTTGGCCTGGAAAACCCGGGGTCCTCCTGGCTCTGGAAACAACCTGTGGCTGAAAGAGTCTCGAAGCGGTCCGGGGTCCAGCGCTTAACCGTGGACTTCTGCGCTTTCGGCACTCCGTGGCGAAAACGCACTGCAATCCTTTATGCTAATGCTGACCTGTCAAGTCTGCGTCCATTCAAGTGCTGTGGTAGAGGTATTTGCTCGTTCTCAGGTAAGTCCCACATCGAACTCGCCGGTAAAGATAATGCCGGCCGTTTTCTCACGGCTATCGCCGAACCGTGCCCAAGTGACCTGTGTGTACATATTGCTCGTGCGTTTCTCAATGCACATCGGAACCATGTGTTTCGGGGGATGTTTTCTAAAGTGGCCCCTCGCCTTTAAGTCGAGTCTCCAGACATATGGTTTCGGAGTTCTCCGATTTTGTGGTGTTGTGCTGACTGCCGTCGGTCTCGAGGACTGGCGCCTGATTGCATCCTCTCGTCTAGAGCTCTGGGCACCAGTAAGCACACAGATCAAACCTTCGGTCTGGCCACTGAGGAAAAAGAGCTCCTCGGAGGAACAGATGGCAATGCGTGCATGTAAATCTTTTCTGAGAGTGCCTTGAGGACAGGGGGCCGCGCGTCACAGCACGCCCGCTACCGATTGTGCTCAAGCTCCCCCCCGAGCCCACCCGCGGAGCAAAATCTACGCGAGGTGTTGTGCTGACTGCCGTCGGTTTCGAGGACTGGCGCCTGATTGCATCCTCTCGTCTAGAGCTCTGGGCACCAGTAAGCACACAGATCAAACCTTCGGTCTGGCCACTGAGGAAAAAGAGCTCCTCGGAGGAACAGATATCTATAAGTTATCATGCGTTGAAGGGGGCTTCTCCTGTGAACTCATGCCGCCATCCTCACCACGCCCCGAATAAAAACTATTGCTACATTTACTGGTGGTGAGCGTCGTGTCTGCTCTGGAGCCTTGATGGCGCCGAACCTTATCCAGACATGCGTCTTAGTTTGAAGCTCGCACCGTCAGCCTGACACACCCACCCACCCACCCACACACACACACACACCCACACATGCACACACCCACACACCCACACACCCACACATCCACCCACACACACAAACACACACACACACACGCACGCACGCACGAACACACACACACACACATACACACATACACACATGCACACATACACGCTTGCACACTTCCACACTTACACACTTACACACTTACACACTTACATACTTACACACATACACACTTACACACTTACACATTACACACTTATACACTTACGCACTTACGCACTTACACGCCTACACACCAACACATCTACACACCTACACACTTACACACTCACACGCTCACACACTCAAACACTCACACACTCACACACTGGCAATCTTGCACACTTACACACTTACACACTTACACACTTACACACTTGCACACTTACACACGTACACGCGTACACAATTACGCACGTACACACTTACACGCTTACACACGTACACACTCACGCATTTACACACTTACAAAGTTACACACTGACACATTTACACACTTACACACACACACACACACTTATTCACTTGCACGCTTACCCACTTATCCACTTACACACTTACACTCTTACACTTTTACATGCTCACGCACTTACATACATACACACTTACACACTTACGCACTTACACACTTACACACCTACACACTTACACACAACTACCAGCACCGAACACATACATTGCCTTGCATAGGGGGGGGCGGGAGTGGAGCATATGGGAGCAAACGGGAGGGCAGCGGGGCAGGGGCGCCATCATTTTCCAAACTGCCGATGAGCCATCAAGCGGCGGACTACTTAGAGATGAGTGGCGTGTGCATTCATGGAACACGTGTGTGTCCATGGATGGAGGGCTCCAGGGGACTGCGCTTTCTTGCTTGCGCCAAGCGTCTCTCACGCAGCCCAGGGGCCCGCTCAGGAGGGGAGGGAGTTGAGAAGGATAAGGCTGCTTATCGGGCAATTGGCGCGTTCGATGCACGTGCGATGCGCACGTATCACAATCGGAACGCATAAAACGAAGGCTCCTTCAAATCGTTGTTGCTCCTGCGCGCGGTCGCGAGCGCAACAGATGGCAGCCCTGTGAGAAGCTCTGCTACCAGGGATCTTTGCATTGTCTCCTCCACTGGGCACCTGCACTTCCCAGTGCTTCCTAGCTTCCCCCCACTTGCCGCCTTGGGCATGGGGCTGCGGCCGAAACTGTTGCCTCGACGGGGCGACGAAGGTAGAGCCTGGACGTCGGGAAGTGGGCGGGCGAGGTACGAGGCAGCTCGCCGCGGCCAGAGAAGCCCCTTCCGCATTCAGCATGCTTCATGGCAGCACGATGGCTGTACTCCGCGGCTACGGTAGGAAGGGATACCCTCCATCGGGACGCATTGACCCCCAGTCGCCGATTCATCGCCGATAGGTGTCCGATAGCCCACCCCGCCCGGGAACGTGCGGCTGCGCTGTCGTGGGCCTTTGGCCGATAGCTCGGCGATGTATCGGCGATTCCAGGTCGATGCTTCCTTCCCCCCCCTTGAGCCAGGCGTGACGTTGCCCCTCCGCTCTCTTCCTTCTCCCCCTCTCCTCGAGCCGCCGCGACGGCCGCAGGTGGAGTTCGAGCTCGAGGGGATGTCCGAAGCCGAGACGACGTCCGAGCAGGACCGACTGATGAGGAGAGGGAGGAGGAGGAGCAGGAGGAGGAGGAGGAAGAGGAGGAGGAGGAGGAGGAGGGAGGCAGGAGGGGGAGGAGGGAGGCAGGAGGAGATCCGTGGCGTGCCCGGGGGGGAAAGCCAGAGGGGGCGGGCCTGCGCAGACGGCTCGCAAGGCCTGCGGCCGTCCGAGAAGATGTCTATTATGCCTCCGCGGCAGGCAGGAACGGCTTCTCGCAAGGGAGAGAGAACACCAATCGACGCGAAGATCGGGACAAAATCGGATCGGGATAACTCGAAATCTCTGAGAATCGGCGGGTTTGGAGGATGTATTGGGCGCCGCGGCCGCTCCAGAGCGTTCCGGAACGCTCTGAGAGCGCTCCGGAACGCTCTGGAGCGATTTATCCCGATCCTAGCCCTGTTTTAAACCACCCAGGCCCGATGATTGGCGTTTGCTGAACGGCCCTGGGCGTTTACTACACAGCCCTGTCCTGGTCGATTCCTCCGGTGGGCGTGTTTACTAAACTGCTTCGCGTGTCGTGTCGGGATGATCACTATGGGACTGTGGGAGGGGATTGTCTGCCCTCCATTTCTCAGAGGGCCACAGGGATTCTGAGAAGGCCCGCTGCCTCCCGAGAGGTCCTGCCCCTCACGCTTCCCCCCCTCCCCGCGCGCCGCCGAGAAGAGAGGCAAGAGAAGGATGGCAGCAGCCAGGCACGACCGCGAAGAGTCCTCGATCCTCGATCGACGTCCCGTCCTCTCCGTGCCCGCCTCCCCTGCCCTTGTCGCACGGAAGCGGAGCCGGACTCCCGTGGCGCGCGAGACCTCTCTTAGTGCAGGATGCGCAGCTCGACGGCGGGTCCGGGCCGTTCACGAGCGCGCCACACTCGCCGCAGAGCCACTGCAACTGGGGAGGCCGAGGGGGGTGATGAGGATGATGATGGTGATGATGGTGATGGTGATGGTGATGATGATGATGGTGATGGTGATGGTGATGGTGATGATGATGATTACAATGCTGAGGAGGAAGAGGAGGAGGAGGAGGAGAAGGAGGAAGAGGATGACCATGATGTTGATGCTGATGCTGGCGGTGATGATGATGATGCTGATGATGATGACGATGAAAAGAACGACGACGATGATGGTGGTGGTGTTGATGGTGCTGATGATGATGACGATGATGATGCCAATGACGATGATGATGCTGATGATGATGATGATGATCGAGATGATGATGATGATGATGATGATGATGATGATGATGATGATGATGCCGAAGATGCTGATCATGATGCTGATGCTGAAATGATGATGTTGATGATGCTGATGACGACGATGCTGATAATGATGAAGTTGATGCTGCTGCCGATGGGAATGAGGATTAATGGTCAATGGTTGTCGTTATTTGAGGTGATGGTCATCATGACTGATTAGTTATGGCTGATGGTTGGTGGTAGATGGTTGTGATGATGACGGCTACTCGGGATAATTAGTTGGTTGATGCTGGTGATCAGGGTGTTGTTGCTGATGATGATGACGGTGATCATGATGATGCGGTTGCTGCTGATGATGATGACGTCAATACTGATGCTGATGCTAATGCTGATGATGATGTGGATGATGATGATGACGATATTGAAGATGATGCTGCTGATGATGATTATGATGATGATGATGAGGATGATGATGATGAGGATGATGCTGATGATGATCATGATGATGCTGATGATGCTGATGATGAGGATTATGATGATGAGGATGATGGTGCGGATGATTATGCTGCTGCTGCTGCTGCTGCTGCTGCTGATGATGATGATGATGATGATGATGATGATGATGATGATGATGATGATGATGATGATAATGGTTGTGGGGTGGTGGTGGTGGTGGTGATGAAGATGATGGTTATGATGACGAGCAGGAGGAGGAGGAGGAGAAGCAGGAGGAGGAGGAGGAGGAGGAGGAGCTTGAGGAACGGTCAGCGACTGCGTGTGCCCCTGCCACGCAGCAGCCGCGCGCGGCGCAACACACCAGGCCGCCCACGCCAACTGCCGGGCGGCACGCGCGTGCGCGTGGGCCGCCTCCCGGCTCGGACAATCGCGCCCGCCAGCCACAGCCAGGACGCTGAGATGAGGACCGCTTTGGGTGCAGGAGGGTCTCTCGGGGGCAGCGAATGGGGGGGATGGGCATCTGGGGGGATGCATCGACCTCTCATGGTTGGTACATCGACGATGCATCATTGATACGCAGCAGGTGGTATATCGACGATATGTAGACGGTTGGGGAGGCCAGCATCGACGACGTAACGACCATACGTGGGCGATGTTTCGGCCATTCGAACTCGGTAACTCGATACCCCTATGCCTACTCCATTTCCCTTAATAGAGACGGAGGGGGGGGTGGGAAACTGCGTGTTGGGCTGCGCGCCGGCGAAAAGTATTCCAGGGCGAAAAATATGACCCCAAGGGCCGGCGAACACTACGTCGCATTTCATCGCAACGTGGGATGCGACTCGTCCCCGTTCGTTTCGCGTGGCGCATTGCGCGCGTGAGTACGCGTGCGCACGCAAACGTACAATCATCTACACAGGCGCTGCAAACTCACAAACAAGCACACACGTGCACACACGCATAGCCGCACAGAAGCACACACACACTTACGATCGTGCTTTGCAAGCGGGTGTACAGTGCGCGCGCTTGTTCAAGTGCCTTGGGGTTGGCGACGCGCCCCCGCGCTCACGCGATCACTGAGCCCAAACGCTGGCGAAAATAAAGCAGCCCTCTCGTTGGGGCCGGCGATAATTCCGCTCCAGAGCCCAACGCCAGCGAAACTGATATATTGGTGGCCAAAGTCGCGTGCCCCTTGAATTGCACCACCCACGTCTATTGGGGGGAAATCGGGTCGCCCCCCGGATTGTTGCCCCTCAGACTCTGGCTTCCGGGGCGCTGCGCTCCTCAGCTCGACGGCCAAGAACTCTTGGACGGCGTGTCGTTCCGCCAGTTCCGTCTCGCCGCGCTGCGGCGCGACGCGCCATCTGCTGCCCAGGCCCCGGGCGTCGCCGTCCCGCCTCCCGCCCCCCCCCCCCGGAGCGGCGCGGCGCGCCATCCGCTCGCAGGGCAGACAGTGCCGTGTTTGATACATGCTCCGCGTGCGGATCATGCATTGAAAATGCGGGGGGTTCAGTTTTAGAAACAACGATGAGTTCACGCAGACATTCATCCATCAATTAATCATTCTTAAAATCCTATACTTTTTTCCCAAAGATCCTATGTACCAGAAACTGCACAGCGTGTCGCCGGGGCCGCCGCCGCGGCACGCCGCCCGAGGGTTCCCGGCCCTCGCCGGGCCCCCTTTTTGAGAGGGCCTCTCTGCTGTTGCAGGGCAGGCTGGTCTTCGCGCGGCTGCGGGTCTGCTCGGTGTACCATCGTTCGCAGGGGAGCACGGTCGCCAGGGGGGGGGGCAGCAAGAAGAGCCCTGGCGGCAGCCCCCCTTCTCGGGCTGGGCGAAAGGGGGGGATTCGGAAAGGGGGGGGGTACGAAATTCGCTGCATGCAGCTGGTTTCGGCCCCGCCGAGGGGCCCATTCCTCGATACATATAGGGCGACGAGATCTATGCATATCCACTGCTCCTGGCCAGGCCAATCCTGGGCCCAGGAGCGGTGTATACGCCCTCCTGGCCTGGCCAGGGAGGCATATACACAGCTCCTGGGCCCAGGATGGGCCTGGCCAGGAGCAGTGGATATGTATAGATCTCGTCGCCCTATACATAGCCCCCCTAGGCGCCGGGAAACTCAGCTACCTGAGCTGATTCTCAACCCCCCCCTTTGCTATCCCCCCCTTTCGCCCGACCCGACCTTCGAGGAGCAGAGGACAGCATGAGCAGAACTTTCGACGGCCCGCGCGGATCTCCTGGAGCTCCTCCCTGCCTCCCTGCCTCCCTCCCCCTCCTCCCCTCCCTGCTGCCCGGGCCTTCCCGCTCGGGCCCTCGCGGCCTCGCCGGGGCGCCCGCGCTCCCCGCCCCGCCCCCGCGCGGAGGACCACGAGGGCGAGGGGGCGTCGCTGCCCTGCTACGCGCACCTGCGCAGGGCCCAGGAGGCCCGCCCGGGGTCCCGGGTGGTGGGGCGGGAAGCTCAAGCAGTTCGGGGGCGGCAAAGAGGGGGGTGATGACTAGGGGGGGGTGGATATGATGGCGGGGGCCATGAGATTCTCCAGATTTCATGGCGCCTCTTCTTGTTTCACTACGTCCCTGGCCCCCCCGCTGGGCCGCGCACATGCCGCCGGTCATGATTTGCACCCCCCCCTCTTGGACACCCCCCTCTTTGCCGCCCCCGAGCAGTGGCGAAGCGTCCTGGCTCGCCTACAGCCCCACCGAACAGTGTTCTGAGAGCCTGTGGTGGTTCCCTCCGAAGTGCTCTCAGAACAGGTCTGGTTGGGGGACTGTCCTGTTTTGCCCCATCGGGTTTCTGTTCTGAGAGCATTGTTTGTGTTATTCGATCAGTTTTGGGTTCTGAGAATATTTTGTGGTAGGACTATAGGAATGCCAGGACGGTCGGCCCCTGCTCAAGGGAACCAAGTGGTGGGTCGGCACGAACGACATGGGTACGGCGAGAACGGGTACACTCCCCAACAGCAGTTCCTGCTCATTTTGAACAGGGCTCGCTGTCCGCGCCGCCGCGGCCCGTGTCCATTCTAGACGGGAGGCCGCCTGCCCAGCAGCGACCGCCGTTGGTCTGGGGCAGCATTTGTTGTTGGGCATTGTGCCAAGTTTTTCCATACCTTTTTCGGGCGTCCAGAGTGGTGTGTGCGTGTGTGTGTGTGTGTGTGTGTGTGTGTGTGTGTGTGTGTGTGTGTGTGTGTGTGTGTGTGTGTGTGTGTGTGTGTGTGTGTGTGTGTGTGTGTGTGTGTGTGTGTGTGTGTGTGGGGGGGGGGCGAGGGCGGGCAGGGGGGGGGCCCGAGGCAGGAACTTATACATGACCACCGCCTGGAGAGTCAGTTTTCGGAGCCTCGGCAGGCGTTGGATATGGACATTCGGGCCCCTGGGGGCCGAACTATATCCATGCCCACCGCCCGCTGGGGCACCAGGACGTCGGTTCCCAGGCGGTGGATATGGATAAATCTCCGCCTCGCAGGGGGGGCGACTCGCACGAAATAATGGGGCGTCGAGGGGCACGGGTCCTGCGTGTCACGTCATCGGGCTCCCGGGGGCCCTCGCCGGGCCCCCGCGACCGTCCTGAAGTTGCTCGGGAGGAGCTCGGGGGAAGTCCCGGGGGTCCAGGACCCGTTTCCCGCATGACCCGCTCCTTTCACGCTGAGCCGAGGGGGGGGGAGCACCAAGGCGAGGAAGAGGGGGGGGAGATGGAGGGCGAGATGGAGAGAGGGAGGAGGGGTAGGTGGATACAGGGGGTGCGAGAAGGACAGAGGGGGGAGGAAGGGGGAGGAGGAGGGGGGGGGGGGGGGCGAGGGGGGCGAAGGGGTTGGGGGGGGCAGCACGAGGGCAAGGCGGAGGAGCAGCATGATGATGATGATGATGATGATGATGATGATGATGATGATGATGATGATGATGATGATGATGATGATGATGATGATGATGATGATGATGATGATGATGATGATGCTGATGCTGATGCTGATGCTGATGCTCATGCTCATGCTCATGCTCTCATGCTCATGCTCATGCTCATGCTCATGCTCATGCTCATGCTCATGCTCATGCTCATGCTCATGCTCATGCTCATGCTCATGCTCATGCTCATGCTCATGCTGATGCTGATGCTGATGAGGAGGAGGAGGAGGAGGATGAGGATGAGGATGAGGATGAGGATGAGGATGATGATGATGATGAGGAGGAGGAGGAGGGTCAGAGGGAGGAGGGGAAGGTGGATCGGGGGGCCGAGGGGGGACAACATGGGGGGGGCAGGGTGATAGGGGAGAAGGAGGGGTGCGTGGATGAGGGTGGGGTGGGAAGGAGTGCGTGGTTGAGACAGCGTCCAGGATGCCCACCCCCACCACCCCTCGGTTGGGATGACGCTAGGTGCGGCGCGGCGGTCCACGGGCGCAGGCGATGGGGGTACCCATCGCTCGTTGAAGGCATGTATGTTCGGGTTCCCACATTCCGGCTGCCGCACTCCTGCTTTTCCTCAGGCAGTGCCTGCACTCGGGGGTTGCTCCTTGGGTGTCCTGTGAAGTGCACCGCTGTCGCCGCTGGCGTCGCCGCTGTGGGCGCCCCGTGCGCTGCCGGAGAGGGGTGTGTGCGTGTGTGCTCTGCCGAGGGCTGCGCCACGCGGGCGCTCGTGGGCGCTCCGTGCACGGGGGAGGGAAAGCGAAGCGAAGCGGCAGCGAAGAGCGAGACACGAAAAACAACACGAGTTCGGGGGCGGGGGGGGGGGGCGGTCTGCGCCACGGGGCCGCCTCGTGGCCGCTCGTGGGCGCTCCCCGTGCGGCGGGCGGGGGGGGGGAGGGCTAGGCTGCGAGACGCTGCCGCCTCGTGGCCGCCTCGCGGGCGCTTCGCGGGCGCCCCGTGCAGCGGTGCAGCGAGCCTGCGCGGCGCAGCCGTCACCACAGCTCTTCTGCGCACAGCTTACCCGTAGCTTTCGCCTCCGATCCTCACCGCACGCACGGCGCAGCGTGCACAACGTGCGGTACACCCCATGCATCACCTCAGACCGCACAGCTTGCACGGCACAGCTTGCACCTCGCAGCTTGCGCCGCACAGCTCTCATCTTTGTGTCTCACACCACACAGCGTGCACGACACAGCTTTCACCTCGCGTAGCTTACGCCGCATAGGTTCCACCTCCTCTGTGCACGAACGTTCTGTTGGCAGTCCACGTTGGCTAGCATGTAAGGATCGAGTTGCTTGCCCTTTCCATCTCAGGGTGGGTGGGCGAAAACCGGATCTAGTTTCAACGCCTTATTACTTCAGGTTTCTACCCACTTCTTCCGAACGGTAGGTGATCCCTAACAGCGGGTCAACTCCCCTCTGGTCTTTGATCCCCCCTGGCTGACTCGGGTCTTTGGAGCCGCGTGGCTCCAGCACCTCTCCTCCACCTCCTCCTCCTCCTGCTTCTCCTCCTCTTCCTGCTTCTCCTCCTTCTCCTCTTCCTCCTCCTACTCCTCCTGCTTCTCCTCCTCCTCCTCCTGCTCCTCCTCCATTTCCTCCTCCTCCTCCTCCTGCTCCTCCTTCTCCTCCTGCTCCTGCTTCTCCTCCTCTTCCCCCTCCTCCTCCTGCTTCTCCTCCTCCTCCTCCTCCTCGTCCTCGTCGTTCTCCTCCTCCTCCTCCTCCTCCTCCTCCTCCTCCTCCTCATCCTCATCATCATCATCAATCATCATCATCATCATCATCATCATCATCATCATCATCATCATCATCCTCATCATCATCCTCATCCTCATCCTCATCCTCATCCTCATCCTCATCCTCATCCTTATCCTCCTCCACCTCCCCGTCCTCCTCCTCCTTCTCCTCCTTCTCCTCCTTCTCCTCCTCCTCTTCTCCTCCTCCTCCTCCTCCCTCTCCTCCTCCTCTCCTCCTCCTCCTTCTCCACCTCCTTCTCCTCCTCCCCTCCTCCCCTCCTGTTTCTCTCCTCCTCCTGCTCCTTCTCCTCCTCCTCCTCCTCCTGCTCGTCCTCCTCCTCCTACTCCTCCTCCTCCTCCTCCTCCTCCTCCTCCTCCTCCTCCTCCTCCCTCCGCTGACCTGGGCCTTTTAGCTCCGAGGCCGTCCAAGGGCGTTGCCGTTTGGCCGACGTTAGGGCCCGTCCGCCCCCGTCGGCCAGCAGCCGATCGGTTCTTTCAGCGGAAACCCATGCCAAGAAGCACCTTGCTTGCCTCCAGGGTGCCCTGGGTCTTTTCAGGGGAACGAAAACAACTCGGAGGTCCGCGCGGATTTCTCGGATCGGCGCTGAGCCCCACTCCCTGCATCGCGGAGCGCGCCAGGGGCGGCGCCGGAAGGGCCGCCAGATGGTGGTCCAGCGCGGATCCGAGAACTCCGTGCGGACCTCCGAGTTTTTACGTTTATGTCATTGTCCGCTCCCCTGCTCTTGGTTTTCGAGGGCCACGTTCCCACACCCAAAGTCGATGGACGCCCCGGGGTCTCAGGTTTTGGGTGTCCTGCGGAAGGTGCCTTGTGGTCGAGCTCCTACTGTACGTGTGCGCTCGCTCTGCCGCCGCTGCTTCGGCCGCGCGCGCATGGTTGAGGGCTCTGTGCCAGTCCTCACGGCTGGCCGCTGCGCGGGGGCGCCCGCTGTCGATGTCCGCTCGTGGGAGCCTTGAGCGGCGACCTTGAAATCAGCTCTTCCTGCATGTGGACTTCATTTGGCCCTTTCTCCTGCTCCTCCGGGCCCTGCCTGTTCCCCATCTCCCTCCTGGTTCTTCTCGTCTCCCACATGCAGGGGCGAATCTGGTCCAAGCCCAGACCCAAACGTGTTCCAAATCCAGTCCAGACCAGGCCCACATACAGTCGGCCCGGATTAGTAGGTCGACCCTGCCAAATCAAGGGTACCCTTGTGTCCTGTGTCTCGCGACCCATGCTTTCTGCATCCCTATGGCAATGTGGCCCTCGGAAGGGTCTTTTGTCCTTTCGCGTGTCCTGTCCAGTGAAGTCCGACTGTAGGACAGCGCAGCGCCGGGGGCCACGTACCGGACACCAAACCCGTCGTCGCAGGCTGACCCCGCCGTTCCGGTCTGCCCGAATCATTTTTACGCGCATGCTCTGCGTTGGGTGCTTTCAGGCGTATCGGGGGCGGCAAAGAGGGGGGTGACGACCAGGGGTGTGTGGATATTTTGGCGGGGGCCATGATATCTCCCCAGATTTCATGGCGCCTCTTCTTATTTCAAGATGTCCAAGGTCCCCCCTTGGGCCGCGCACATGCCGACAGCCATGATGTGCGTCCCCCCTCTTGGACACCCCCCTCTTTGGACGCCCCCGAGCGCAGCTCTTCGCGGGGAAGCCGCTAGCACCCCTGCGCGCGGATCCGCGGAGGCGTTTTCGGGCCCGGACAGGACGAGGATCAATCCGCTTCCGAGCGTTTCGGAACGCTTTCAGAGCGCTCCGGAACGCTAGCAGGCCGCGGCGCCCGATGCATCCTCCAGAACCGCCGGATTTCAGAGGTTCTCGATTTATCTTCACTCGATGTTGTCCTCGTCCTGGCTTCGTCTTACGATCAAATCGGGTTCATGCCTCCTGGGCCTTCAAAATCGGATTGCTCCTCCTTCGACTGAGGAGGCACGTTCGCTCGCAACGTTTCGGAGAAAGGCTCTCCCTTTCCCTCGCAGCCCTCCACCGCCTCCTCATCCTCTTCCCTTTTCCTCCTCCTCCTCCTCCTCCTCCTTCCCCTTTCCTTCTTCGCCTCCTCCTAGAGCGCTCCGGGGGCACCCCCTTTGCTCCCAAACCAGGGCCCACGATCTTGACACCAGACGCCAGCGGTGACGATCATACCCCCGGCGACGTGGCGGGGAGCGGAGCCGAAGCCCCGCTCGATCGAGCCCGCGCGGGGGACGCCGTGGTCGGGGCCGTTCTCTGGAGGCCAGAGCTGGAGCCCCGCAGGGGCCCCGACCCGAGGCTTCGGGTTCTCCGCTCTCGCCCCTGCGAGCGGCGCCGACGTCGGTGCCGGTGTCGGGGCTGGCCGCGCCTGCCAGGCTCCGGGAGCGTGTTGCCGTGCTTGCCTGCGCGACCCTGCCAGGGGCAGCACGTAGACGCCACTGCAGCAGGAGGAAGAGTGATGGGCCCCTTTTTTTCTACCACCACCATACCACAGGTCGGACGGGGGAGACGGTAGGCTGGGGAGGTCCGCTTCCTCCTCCTCCTCCTCCTCCTCCTCCTCCTTATTTTCCTCTTCCTCCTCCGCCTCCTCCTCCTCCTCCTCCTCCTCCTCCTCCTCCTCCTCCTCCTCCCCCTCCTCCTCCGCCATCTCCTCCATCTTCTCCTCCTCCTCCTCCTCCTCCTCCTCCTCCTCCTCCTCCCTCCCCTACCTGTGGTAGTGGTGGTGGAACATCGGCTCATCAAAGAGGATCCCCATCCCCCTTTGGCGCCAAGCTCAGCCCTCCGACGGCGCGTCTCTTGCCCACGGCGTGGCCTCCCCGAGGCCTGGCCCGCGGGTCACCTTTTTCACCTTTTTTTTTTTTTTTTTTTTTTTTTTTTTTTTCTCTCTCTCTCTCTCTCTCTCTCTCTCCCGGGACTGGCCGTCCATCCCAACCCGTTTTTTTGTTGCCGGCCCAGCGTGGATCCCGGAGGAGAGCGACGACATGGGCAAAAGCTTGCCGCCGCCGTCGTGGCTTTTCCCTACGACGCGTGGCGGCAGTTGGCCGCGGAGCCATCCCCAGACAGGATCGCGTTCCGGATGGCAGTGTTTCTCGCTGTCTTCGGCCTGGTGGAGGCCCTCGCCAGGCCCTGTGTGACCCTCAAACAACGCCTCGGGACGAAGAGCCGCTCCCGGGAAAGGACGTCGGGACTTCCGGGGACCGCGCCTGGAAAACAACAGGACGTCGCAGGTCGGGCCCTCCCCCCCCCCACTTGGCATCGCTCGGACGTGTGCATTTTTTCTTGGCGAGAGCCATCGAGGACCAACCTGGACCATCGAGCAAAAAAAGCACACGAAACCGAAACATGCACGGGAAATGGACGTCCGAGCGACGGCAAGCCCAGGCCGGCGCCACCCCCGACCACCAGCTGCCCGGCGTGGGCACGCCCACGTTCGCCGGCCTCCCCGCGGCGCTGGCCGCGCTTCCAGGCCGCCGGGGGGGGCGGGGGAGGGGGGGGGGCTCGGGCGCCTCGTGCAGTCGAGGCGCCGGGGCTGGGAGGAGGAGAGGGTGCGGATACCGCAGCTCGTCCCGGAGGTCCCTCGCCTCCTCGTCGTCGTCGTCGTCGTCCTCCTCCTCCTCCTCCAGGTGGCCCGAGTGATGAGAAAGCGAGCTCCACCTCACACGCCATCCAGATCTCACACTCGCCAGGGCTCTCTCGCCTGGCAGCCATGGCGGCGGTGTGCCCGTGGGCGGCTCGCTCATGAGCGCTGCCTTCTGTTCTGCATCGTCGGCTTCAACCTCTGCGCGATTTCCCGCGTCGCCAGGATCGCAGACCTGGTCGCCGAGTACCCGTCCCACGACGCCATCGTGCTAGGCGGGAGCCAGCTGCGCAGCACGGACGAGCTTGTCAAGCCAGAGAGAATTGTGGATTCGTTTCGATCTTATCAGCATGGTTACGAGCGCGGGCCATTTGCCACTCCATCGTGCTGCATCACCATCATGTTGAAGAAAAGCTGGTTTCAGAAACACTCAGGAAAAAAAGATTTCTGCCAGTGCCCAAGCAGTTGTGGGGAAGAGCTGGATGTCTTCTCGTGAGGCAGTAAGAGCAAGCGTTCGGCGTTATTTGGCTGGTTTCTCCACCTCGTGTTACCAAGACGGGACAGAAGCATGGGTATGACAAAGCAGTCACCTCCGTTGTGGCTCGCTTGCAGAGTACGCTAGCCAGCAAACGTGCACTTCCCCTTCTCTTCGTGGATCTGAATGGAGGTCTCAGGCAGTCAGATGACGCCTTCGTTGCAGGAGAACATGGCGTCGGCACCCCCTGCCCCGCCTCGGCGGCCTTCCGCCCCGTGCTGCAGGCGAGGTACCTCGCCGCGGCGAACGTTGTCTCCGATATCAGTGAGACTGGCGAAAGTCACATTGACTACGTGGTGGTCCCTCGCGCTACTCTCCCCGCAGTCGAGAGTTGCCAAGTTCACGGTCGAGGCGCTAGGCGGCTCCAACTACATCAGACTGACTCAGCCAGGGACCATAGGCCAGTTGTTTCAGTTGCACACATCATCGCCTCCGCTGCTCCGCTTCCTGAGCGTCTTGCTCGGCCCAATAGCGAGGCCATGTACGAGTGCGTGCAGCTCAAACATGAGGAGGTCATCACCGAATCGAATCAGATGGCAAAGGTCAAGAGGGTATATGAGGAGGGCAACGTTGACGACATGACCGCCACGCTACTGAGAGTGCCCAATGATGTCCGCGAAGTATCTACTGCCTCCCCGCTGTACATAGAGGAGAGAGCTACTAGTGCAAAACTATTGGGCGCACTACTGCAACAGCGTAGACGACAGCGTGAGCTACGAGGCAGGCCACTATATCCCAAGTTTCAAGTTCGGCGTGATGGACGGCGCAGGGTCAAAATTGGGAATGGTGAGACCACGCGCAGCGAGCTTGCTGAGGGGATCAGGGCTGCAGAAACAGGCCAGAATGGAGGGCGAACTGGAGGAGGACGACGAGCAGTTCGACAAGAACTCGACCAGGGGCACTTTGCTGATCCAGCCCGAGGACAGCGTCAGGAGCCTCGAGAACGCAGCCTTTTCCACCGCGATCATCGATCGCAAGCTCGAGGCCATCAACAACTGGTTCCAGGACTACCGTCAGCGCACCAAGAAGGAAAAGGCCAAAGGCAGGCAGGAGTTCGCAGGCCCCGCGTCCCAAACCCCTTCGAGAACTACAGCATCAAGGATACATCGTCACGGATGAAAGCGGTTGCAGCAGGCTGCAAAAGGCTTGCGCTAAAGATGGGGCGCCCGGCTCCAGCACAGATGGCATCATGGATTCGAGAGCTAACGGCGCCCCCCAACTTCGACAAGCCAGGGGTTCCCCAGAAGAGTCGCATTACGTACGCGCTGCATGGCAATTTTCCCCTGCCCTACGAGGACGGGGTCGCGGCCGAGCTCGAAGCAAAGCTCAAGGAGGACCCCGAGGATCCCAGTGAAAGGCCTCATGATCAGCCCCGTGGAGGTCTAGAGATGATGCAGATTTGGATTCCAGTCGAACAGTGGATCAGCGAAGCCATTCGAGGAATGGGAGGAGATGTGAAGATGAACCTAGCCTCTCGCCACAACATGGCCCGCCAGCGTAGTGGGATGCGCAGAGGATGCAAGAAGTGAGTGAGTAGTCCCCACGGCCACGCCCTCGTGCTGGGCCTCTTGCTGCAGGCCATCAGCCTGCTGCCCGCGCCTTGTAATATTCTCCTCTGTGTATTCCATGCAGTTGATCAGTTCACGTGTTGTGACATCTGCACACGTGCGTCTTTATCGTGTCATTGTACGTGCATGCTTGGTTGTGCAGTTGATGATTGCGCAGCAGAATTTTGCAGAACGTCAGGGTTGCGGCAGCAGCACGGTTGCCTTGTTAGGCGAAATGATTAAAGGGGTGGCGTAGCAATGTCTATCGAGCCCCAGCCCGAGCCAGAGTACAACAGTCAGAGGATGGTCTTGAAGGGCTTGTGTACTGTACTGTACTCCTCCTCCTCCTCCTCGTCCTCCTCGTCCTCCTCCTCCTCCTCCTTCTCCTCCTCCTCCTCCTCTTTCCTCCTCCTCCTCCTCCTCCTCCCCCTCCTCCTCCCCTCCTCCTCCTCCTCCTCCTCCTCTTTCCTCTTTCCTCTTTCCTCTTTCCTCTTTCCTCTTTCCTCCTCCTCCTCTTCCTCCTCCTCCTCTTCCCCCTCGTCGCCACGGCTGGGTTCTCCCTCGTTTGCAGCGCGCCCCATCAGGAGCCTGTCGGGGGCCCAGGGAGCAGCTGTAGTTAAGGGTACCTGCTTGTCCCCCCAGAGGTGGGGGCCTCTGCGAGCTCGGGAGGGCCCCCGGTTTCCGCGCCGTCTCTTTGAGATTCAGGTCGTGGGGCGTGCTCATGATCGAGGCTCGCCGTGGCCAGGCGATCCCCCCCGTTGCTTACTCGTCGCACGGCGGCTGCCATCGGGGAGCGGTGGTGAAAGCGGGAGGGGGGCTGGGGCTGCAAGAGAGTCAAGCAGCGGCGAGGGGTCCCGACTTGCCTAGAGGCCCACCACAGAATGCAATGTGCACCTTTTGCGGTTTGAGCAAAGTGGTCTTAGACTATTTCTCTCTGAGGCCATTCTTTTCGTTATCAGTACATTGCTTCGTTCGAGTAGCCTTTCGTCGTGTGCCTATAGGAATGTCGGGACGGGGGGGCTGGGGCCGCTCAGGTGCACGAGGGGGGCACGTTTTTTTGCTCTGCCGTTTTGTTTGTTTCAGAGACGCCTGGGATTTCACGCATCGTTTTATTTGGAGGCGTCTAGCGGCAACGGGCGGCAACTGGGGGGTGATGGGTGGACGGTCGGCGCGTGGTGTGTGCCGCTAGTTGCCGCTAAACGCCGGTTGTTGAACATAGGTATTTTCTGATTTCGACGTTCAAATGTACTTTCAGCGCCTTCCTATTTCCAGAATGGATCTGTGCTTACTGCTTGTTTTATTATTCGCACGGGCCCGACCTACATCTACTTGGTCCGCCCTTCTACTTCATCTTTCCACGTATTTCTTCCGACTCCTGGCTACTCGGTTGCCGTTATTTGCAGCGATTTGCCACTAGTTGCCACGAATCCGCCAGCATCTGGTCTGAGATAGGCTTCCTCATCAACGAACGTAGGCCCCGCCGTGTATTGCCCCCCGCCCACGGAACAGCGCCCGAGGGGCCCACGGCCAGCCAATGTTCGGTCGGCTTTTGCCGGCCAGGCTGCCGCCTGGCGGGGTGTTTTCCCGGTTTGGGCGGCCACGGCTTGGGGGGAGGTTCGGTAGCAAATCATATTCGGCGGCGAGCGAGGGGGAGGGTTTCGGGGTTCGAGGTTCGTTTCGTCGGTTCTTGGCGGTTTTCCAGCCTCGGGATACTTATCAGCAGCTGCGCCTCGCCGAGGGCGTTCCGGGGGTGCCCGGATCGTCCCGAACAGCCGCCTGAGACCCGAGATATGACCCAAAAACCAAATTCCCCAGGGGGGGAAGTGAGAGAGGGCCTTATCAGAAGGCGGCGGGATTTCTCAGGAGCTCGCGCTTAGTGGGCCTCGGAAGCGGCAGGGCCGTTTTTCACCGTTGCCGAAAAAGTGTCCTTTGAAAATGGAAACGGCCAAAAAACGGCGACCGGAAACGGCAACAAAAACGGCTCCAGGATTGGAGCCGGAGCCAGAACCGGTCAAAAAACGGTGAAAAAACGGCGTCGGAACCGGCAACAAAAACGGCAAAACAGAACCGGTAAAAAGAACGCCCTTTCGTTTCCAGGGCCGACTAAGAGCTCGCGCCTTCTGAGAGGTTTTCGGTGCCGTCGGGGAAGGCTTGGGAAGCTTTTCAGAAGGCTGGGGGACTTCCGAACCTTCTGAGAAGGCCCGCCCCGTTTCAGTTCCCACCCTCGCTTGCAGCCGACATATGGGAGCCTTGTATCGGGCAAGGCTTCTTGACGGGCCCGTCTTGAGCTCTGGTTTTCGTGGGACGTTTGCAGCGGGAGTTCGCGTCAGATTTCAGACTGGGTCTCGTCATTTCCCTGGCGGCCCTGTCAGGCCCCCAAACCCCGCCTTTGAGCCACCGAACGTGTGCGTGTGCGGCCTCCCCCTCATCCGCCACCAGTGGGTGCAGCTGGCTCGGACGCACCCCGTCGAGCATACTCTCGCGACGGTGGCGTCCCTTCGCCGGCGGAGGACCAATGTGTGTGTACACACATGATTCATTTCGAATTATTCGAACATTCGCTGATTATTTGGATTTTGAATTCTTCGAACATTCTTTGATTTTTTGGGGGGTCAAAATCCTGTCATGTCTAACTGTTCTGTCCTGGTTCTCGTCCTGGCCACTAGGGGGCCGGGAACAATTAGAAACGAGCACAATTAGAAATGAACACGATGAGCCGTAGCCATTTTGGCTCAAGGCTATGAACCACCCGACGACCGCGAGTCGGCCTCGGTCGGCGACTTCTGAGCGCGAGGGGGTTCGCGCTT